TAAAAAAAAAAAGCCTAACATGACATCACTTCCTGTAGTGTTGGTGATATCACTGGGACTCGCCATGTGATCCTGAAAGATCTGAGGATCCCAAATTTTATATGGAAGCACTCCAGCATGGGCAGTAGTGTATTCCTGTGGCAATCTGGGATCCTCCGCTTTCCCAGAATACCGCCAGAAAGCCCAGTGACTTCATGTTCGCCCGGGCAAGTGCGCCAGAAGCCAGGGTGTCAGGTAAGTATTTCTTACATTCTCCTTCCATTGTTTTATTGCTTTCAGTTAGCATTTTTGGTTAGTCCTAGGAAGCACCGTCCTGCTTTCTCCTCTGTCTACCTGTCGTATTTATCTTTTCTCTCATGGCTAAATTATAGATAAAGGGACGGCTGTAACACATCACCTGTTGAAATGGTTGACTGGTCCACAATAAGCGGTCATGTTACTTGTGGGTTTCTAGTTTACTTCAGCCAGTATTACATTTAAAGCAGTTCACAGATGTTACAGTCTTTTCTTACAAACCATTTTGATCAGTGGATACTTTAATGCCCCACTCTGGGCAAAACTGTTTTCTGTTCCACCCTTAACCACCCGCCTCTAAGGCCCCATTCACATAGACAGCGGTCACCTGTTTTTCTCTACACCTGATCAATGCAGGTCACCGCTAGGACACATAGATAACATTTTTTTTCTGTGTGCCCTGTTCAAACAACAAAGCGGGTGTGATGTACAGTGCCTGCTGCATTTTTTCCTAGCGCACTGGATGCCATTGCAGGACCTAAATAGAGTGTACACATTGTACCCTACCAATAAAGTTAATAAAAAAAGAAAAAAAAACATAAACAGTGACAGCTTCGGCAGTGCTCTGCCATAAGGCATTAGCCTGCCCGCTCCAATGCAATGTTTTAGTGGATAGGCTAGTGTGAACGGGCGCTAACCCATCCTGCTAGGCTTTTTTTTTTTTTGCCTCCCTTCCCTTCCCTTGTGAGGTCACATATATACCGTGTTTCCCCGAAAATAAGACAGTGTCTTATTTTTATTTTTGCACGAAATAAGACGCTAGGTCTTATTTACGGGGGATGTCTTACCTGGCTGCAGCTGTGCTCTGCCGTCCAGGGAGCCACAAACAGGTGGGCGGGCATGCGTGCGGCCGGGGGGGCGTGTCTGGCAGGGGGGCGGGAGGGAGCTGCCTCTCCGCTCGGAACTAAGGAGACGAGGGGGCGGGCATGCGTGCTGCTGGAGGGGGGGCGTGTCGGGTAGGGGGTGGGAAGGAGCTGCCTCTCCGCTCCGATGTCGTCATCCAGAGAGCAACAGCGTGCGGGTAGGTGGACGGGCGAGGGGGCGGGAGGGAGCTGCGGCCGGTCTTCACAGCTACCCCGGAAGTAAGATCTAGCGCTATCTTTGGGGATGTCTGTAATATAAGACCTACCCCGAACTAGGTCTTATTTTCGGGGTAGGTCTTATATTACAGACATCCCCGAAGATAGCGCTAGGTCTTATTTTCGGGGGATGTCTTACTTTCGGGGAAACACGGTATTCACCTGAGTCCCCCTGCACTGTTTCTGGGTTGTGGAACCACAAATCCAACAGTCTTCTGGATCCTGAGAGGACCCCAGATGATGGACTTTCAATAGGTAGTGTCCATGTCATGCAGGCACCAACTTGGAAATCCAAAGCAGGAAGTAAACAAAGGAGAAGACTCGGGGGCTGTGGCATCACATGACTGCGGCTTAAGGTAAGTAAAAAAGGATTTTTTTTTATTGTGATCCAGCAATCAGACAAGGGAAGGAGGGGTGGTTGTGCAGTGAAATATATCCTGGAGTGGTGCTTTAAAACAAATGTTACCAAATACAACATTTTAAGGTGTATCATAATGCAGTCGTGATTGTGTGCTAGGCTACGTTCATAATACCGCACACAATCCGCACATGTTGCAATTTTAGGTGCGCTGTAGTGACATTATTTCCTAATGGCACCCCAACACTGCTAGCCATTGCATGTCTGTTGTATCGCACTACAATGCATGCTAATCTATTACCATACAATGTGGTGTGATGCAGTCTAAAAAAAAGCTGCACTCATTTCTTTCAGTCGGTTTTAGCTGTGGTAGGGAAGCCCATTCAAATTAAAGGGCTGCCTAACGCAGTGCACCCTGTAGCACCTCTGCAATGTTGCATCAAAGAGGTGTGAATGAGAGCTAAAAGATTAGAACAAAGGACAAAGATCCAGTTTGTAAAACACTTGCTGTAATTAAAAAAAAATTGCTGGACTGATAGTTGAGTTTCAAAGTAGCCAGATATAGTCCGGAAAGAATTTGAGCTGTCTGCTGTTTCTCACATGACTCCATGTGGTGCGGTTGATTGACGGATGCAGAGAAACAAAGGGTTCATTGCGTTATGGGCTGGAATTGAATGTCTCCCAGCTGATGCTTTATGTAATGACAAGAGTCACTGATCTGCAAGAAGGCAAGTTATTCATGGAAGCTAGCTTTGTGTACTTCTAATTACAGAATAGGCTATGAATGTGCATTGCAATTATCTTTTAAACTGAGCTGCTTTAAAATAAAATCACCCCAATCTTCCAGTGGCATCATCTTGTTGTTTAACATACTATGTAATATTAAAGGAGAACTATGGGGTCAGGGCTTTTCCCCAGAGTTCTCCTAAGGGTAACGGGAGGACACAAACTAGCGTCCTCCCGTCACTCAAAGCTCAGTATACCGCGAGCTGTAGCTCGCGGTATGCTGAGACGCCGCAGCCGGAACGGATCCCGATAATTCTGTCTGGATCCACCCAGCTGCGTGAGTGACAGCTGGCTCTGCCTATCTAGAGGCAGAGCCAGCTGTACCCGCCCCTCCCCTGTCCGTTCCGCCAGTCAGCGCTGGAGGATCGGACAGGGGAGGGGGAGAATCTCTGCAGGGAGCCGTGAGTGACAGTCACGGCTCTCTGCACGGATAGATCGAGAAGTGAGCGAGCGCCGGTATGTGTTCACTTCCCGATCAATTGAGCCGACCTGTGACAGTCTCATTGTCACAGGTCGGCTCAGATTATGAGGCTGAGTGAAAATCACTAGCCTCATAATTCTCCTTTAAATAATCCCTGAAACTGCCATTGGTGAGATCTTTTTTGCCAAATGCTAGTTTTTTGATGGTCTTACCCTCAAGAAATGTTTGCTATACAGGAAACCTTTAGAATTTTTGATCTTCTGAGAATGCTGGAACAAGCATGCTAACTGAGTTAGAATGATGTCTAAACTGACTGATTTGTGCGGGATGTGACAGAAATTCTAAAATTCTATTTAAAAAAAAAAACAAAAAGCTGATCTCCAGGCAAATTGGCTAAATACACAGATGAAATACATGCAGTATATGGGAACTGATTTACCTGTCAAAGTTGTCAACTTTTTTCAATAATCGATTAATCGGCTTCCGATCAGTTGGCCCTGTTCACGGCTCCACACACGCTGTGCGCCGCACCTCCTCCCCATCTCACGCTCGCCGCTGCCAGAACCGCCCGCTTCCACGCTCTTCATGCAGCACCTCCTCCCCGCCTCACACTCACCGCCCGCCCTCATCCACGATCGGCACCTGTGATGGAGTGCAATCTCAATACAAACTAGTAGTCCATCACTGGAGCCATTTTTAAAAATTTATTTTATTGATTAACTGATTAATCGAACGTAATAATCGGCTAACTAATCGATGTTGTAAATAATCGTTAGCTGCAGCTCTACTTTCAGGTGCGTTCCAATCCGTTTTTGATGCGTTCCGATGCAGCTAAAATGAGACCAGCAGTATTTTTTCTGACTGCATCGGTATGGACTGCACTGGTGTGAACAGAGCACCAGAAATCCCTTAGGCTGGGTTCACACCTGGGCATACGGAAAATATGCGCGTTTCTTGCCGAATGTTCGTCGTGCCGCACGTAAAAGAAACGCGCGTTTCCGAGGGCTATTCGGCTGTATCCTAATGGATACGCGCGGCAAATACGCCTCAAATAAGCTCCTGTACTTCTTTGAGCGTAGGGCGTTTTACAACGCGTTCCTACGCGCTGTAAAACGCCAAGGTGGGAACCATGCCCATAGGCAATTATTGGTTTTCACATGTTGAGCGTTTTACAGCGCTTTGAAACGCGCTGTAAAATGCCCAGGTGTGAACCAGGCCTTGTGAAAGCATTGTGACGTAATTTTGATGCAGCTGCCAAACTGAACAGACTGCATCACTACTGCATCTGGTGTGAACTAGCCCTTAGATTTGTGTAAAGTTATGTGAATTGAGCCCTATGTAACACTCTCTTTACACATATGACCAGAATAATATATTATTGGATTCACTTTTGTGCTTATCTAACAAATGTTTATAGATGACTGTTGTTATGGATGTGTTTCTGAAACTTTTTACTTTTACTCGGTACCCTATAAGGATTTATAAAGGCTTAGCTATGTAGGTAATTGCTTGATGATCATGCAAACCAGCTACAGTGTAACTGGCACAGGTTGTAGGATTTAAAAAAAAATAAAAAATTTCAGACAATTGTAGCAGTACGGGATTGTCATCTACTACTACAGGAGTAGTAGTACTGGAGTAAAACCCTAATCCCCTGTAGTGTCATGGCGCACCCTGTAACCAAGACCACCTGGAGTGCACATAATGACCATCTTCTGTTCTGGCTGGGTCTAACCCCATCCTATCCCAACTCTTGTACTTTACTTTTTAACTGTGACTTAGTTACTATGTGACATAGTAGACCTTAATAACCAATAGTAAGGTGGGGGCCTGGGTAACCAATAGTAAGGTGGGGGCCTGGGTAACCTATATTAAGGTAAGCACAACCTTTGAAGCTGGATGGTAATTGCATTACAGATCAGCCCAGGTATTCAGATGATGCACAGTGGCAGTGCTGAGTTAAATCATGTAGTTGTTCATTTTTCATTGCTGTGTGCATTTGGGTCAGTAATGAATGTGTTCTATATATCCCACTGATCGTAGCAGATGGTGAGGCTTGTCAGGATATTGGTGTAGCAGTTAAGATGAATCAATGCTTCCCCTTCCTGGCTGGTTAATAATTACACCATACATACTGTGAGTCACAGGTAGGGCTCATTCACACTGGAATCGGCTGGCACGTACAGCTGCGTGCACTGCTGTATCGGGCAGCTCCCGGAAAGGACAGGTGCTGCATGTGATTAGTACGCAGCCCCTGTCCTTCTCCAGGACTAGGCGGCTGCACGTCCGTACGGGTGAGCGTACTCGTACGCTGACAGGATGGATCCTGTCTGCGTCTGAGCCAGGAAACGCGCACCCCTACAGACCTGCACTTGAGGTGAGCGTAGGGGTGGCGTATGGCCGCATAGTCCCATAGAGAAGGATGTGGGCTGTGTACTAATCACACGCAGCACCTGTCCTTCTCTGGAGCTGCCCTGTACGGCCCTGCACGCAACACGGATCTGTACGTGCCGGCCGATTTCCAGTGTGAATGAGGCCTAGCTCATTTGTAACATGTTGTTTGTTTCCTGTGTTTTGTCTTTTATTATTGTTATAGTATAAATGAACATCATTGACTGACACGATGATAATGTTGTATCAAAATTGTTTCTGAGGTCTTTATTTCAGTAAAATCGTATGTGTTTTGTTTTCAGAGTGAAGACACACAACAGCAGATTATTAGAGAAACATTCCATTTAGTTTCTAAACGAGATGAGAACGTCTGCAACTTCCTGGAAGGAGGATTGTAAGTATTCGGGTTACTTTTGTCCAACTCCTTCAAGGGATTGTAAACACAAGTTAGAAGTAAAAAAACGTTTTTTTAAAATAACATTTATAGATAAAAATGTAAACGGTTCCAGACATAATCAAGATGAGATCCCACAAGCTGACATAAATGTCACATATCCCCCTTTTTTCATAGAGGTGTTTTTTTTTTTCTTTAATAAACTCTGGGTTTTTTGCACGCATGAAATACACATCCTGTGTTAAATCTAGGATAACATCTTCATCACAGTTGACAAGATGTCAGAAAAAATAGGAAATGGATACACGCACCACTTATCTGTAATGATGACCCTCATCTGCCACCTATACAAGCGGGTATAACGGGCCAGGAACTAAAAAAAACTTTACTATACTGCCAGGAGGCTGAATAGCAATAAAATGGTTTTGGTGGGGAGCGGTGATTGGTGAATGCAACCACTTGGCTGCACTGACCAATGAGAATCTCAGAGAGGCTTGTATTTAAGCAATTCTTTTAGGCTTACATTCAATTTTGACATCTTTCAGAAGGTATTTGTTCTAAGGGGAACTTTTGATTGCATGTCTTGTAGCTCTGGGGGAAACAAGGGGGTTCCCTCTCAGGGGGGTAATATTTGTGGGTACAGGATTGAAAAGTTTTCTTGAATGATTGAAATTCTAATAGTAATTGTAGTTTTCATTTGGGAAACTACATTCATTTGCAGAATCAAATGTTAAAATTGAACGGAATTTTGACCAGCATTGTACAAGTCTCTTATGGCATTATTTAATGTACAGATAAGTTGTTGTTTTTTTGTACGAATGTGCATAGCAAATTCTAACTGTATATGCCCAGCTTAACACTAATAAAACTTCCTGGATAACTGAGATCCGTTGGACCACTTTCATTTATATCCTAAATCACTGGAGCTGGCTCCTGGATTGGACAGACTGGCTCCTGAATTCCATATTCATTACCTGATTTCAAATGCCATTGTACACTGGATCTTTCTTATATTCTAACTACAGTTTAGCCTTAGTACATACCCCGAGTCAGAGAAAAGCTCTAACTAGAGCTAAGAATGTGGATCTTCTGACATTATCCCACCTGCTTCCACCCAGCACTGTTCCACCAGCAGCCTGTCACTCCCACAAGAACAATATGCAGCTTTGTGTTATGCTGTGCAATGGTCAGGTAGACGGTCACCAATGAAATCCATGATGTTAAAATGGAAGGACATATTTGAATGTAATCTGTATATATTTTTTTTCATTTTTTTTTTCAGATTAATAGGAGGATCTGACAATAAGCTCATCTATCGACACTATGCAACATTATATTTTGTGTTTTGTGTGGATTCTTCAGAAAGTGAACTTGGTATTCTAGATCTTATACAAGTAGGTATTGCATGTACAACATAAACTTGTATATGATAGAAAGGTGCAGGGTTCTTAAAGCATGTCTGTGCTTGGTAACCACACATTAAACCACCCATAGAAGTTCTCAGTGTGCTTTATCTGGTGACTGCAGACCATTGTTACACATTTTAAAGTTGTACTGTGACAAGGGAGCCCCAAATACTGCTATGCAGATTTACATTTTTCAGAAACTCATTCATAGGCACTTACTCATGGCATCCCACAATGCAGTACTGGTGCCTCTCAATTGGTTGCCTAGAACACACTGCATTGTGTGATGCAGTATTTTAGCAGAATCCTGATAGGTACTTGGAAACATTTCATTATTCCCAGGATGGTTTGTAGGCACAGGACTCTGTCTGCTAATAACAAATGGGGATTCATTTATACTTGTCATCGCCATCTAGGGGTGCAAATGCCATGTGAACAGCATCCGCCAGGTGAACTTTTATAAATTATCCCCATAAAGTAGTTTAACCAAATACAGGTTTGATGCGGTCGCGAAGGGCTCATTCACCCGGGAATCGGCCGGCACGTACAGCTCTGCCGTATCAGGCAGCTCCCAGGAAGGACAGATGCTGCGTGTGATTAGTACGCAGCTCCTGTCCTTCTTTATGGGACTACGCAGCCATACGCTGCCCTATGCTCACCCGCCCTGCACGCCGTCCGTAGGAAGGATCCTGTCTGCGTCCGAGCCGGGACACCCGCACCCGTACGGAGCTGCACTTGAGGTGAGCGTAGAGGGGTGTACGGGTGCATACTCCCATAGAGAACGACGGGGGCTGCATACTAATCGCACGCAGCACCTGTCCTTCCCGGGAGCTGCCCGATACGGCTGAGCACCCAGCACAGAGCTGTACGTGCCGGCTGATTCCCGTGTGAATGAGCCCTTATACTAAAAATAAAGCTGCCCCTGCAAAAATGAACTTGGACACTTTCCTCTCCTGCGGCCTGTGTGGTCAATCTTTGCAGTATTGGGGAGAAACTGCTTGCTGCACGACATTCAGAAACTGACATTGCAGGGATTCCTGGTCCCCTTCTGTTTTCTTTGGTTTAATCCCCCAACTCGTGTGCACTGTAGGGGTCAGGAGGAGGTACCACTGAGTGTGGTGGGGGAACAGGAATCCAACACGCCTGGAAGTGTCAGTTTCTGAAGATTTTTCACATGGTGTTTTCTACTCATTACTCGTGGCACGGGCAGCCAGAGAAGTGGGATCTGTTCTTTTTTGCTTGGGCAGCTATATATTGACTTTTAGTTATAGCAACCATAACAGTATGACTTAGAACAGGGACACTTTAAATATGCATGATCTTCAGCCTATGTAGTCAGTTTGTTAGATAATGTAATTGAGTGTTTGCAATTACAGTCAAAAGCAGGCATATTTAATATGGCATTGCCAATGGTTATAAGCAATAAAAAACTGCTTTAACTTTCTGTAGTTAGACCTAGACCAGTTTATAAATTATTTCTCATAGGTATGTGTGGGTTTCCCTGAAAATAAGACGTACCCCGAAAGTAAGACCTAGCACTATTTTTCAAGATTCCTGTAATATAAGACCTACCCTGAAAATAAGACCTAGTTTGGTGGTAGCATGTGAGGGGGAACTTGCAGGAGAGATGGTATCAGCCTGCAGGGACATACTGTATTAAGGGGATGACAGGGGACTCCCTCCAGACAGCGCAGTGACGGGGAGCACTCCAATACCATACTTCACCAACTGCTGTCCCCGAAGGCACTGCTTAATATATTGGTACTGTACTGTAATGTGTACCGGTAAATGGTACCGTACATTACCGCGCTGTCCACTGTCTGTTGTCCCCACTGCTGCACCGCTGGTACCACTGTCCCTGGTGGCAAAGGAAGCCAGCGCTGTTGAAACAAAGGCTGCGGCCTAGGAGGGAGCAGAGCCACATTAGCCGATATTCCTCTAGAGCGCCAGTTACTGTGACAGGCGGAGTGATACCAGATAACTTTGGATTGTTGTACATGAATAACTTTAGATTGTTGTACTTTTTGTTGCACATTAAAAACCAAAAAAATAAGACATCCCCTGAAAATAAGACCTAGTGTGGTTTTTGGGGGCTTAAAAAAAATATAAGACAGTGTCTTATTTTTGGGGGAACACGGTATTGGCATCGCTGTTTTCACAGCCTTGATTAGTCCAGAGATGCTTGCTAGAGTGACTCAAAACGTATGTGTGTGTGTTTGTGCACAATGGCTTTGTGTGCCATTGAAAAGGTGATTAGCAACACCACATTTTTAGGAGGGGGTGATCCTTTTTCTAACTCGGTGATTCTGTTTTTGAATTTATTTTCTGACATGTTGGTGTTGTTATATCTTTCACTTGGATGTTAAGCTGGATAAAACATAGCCACTGTATAATATGAAGTTATATCTTCATACACCAGAAATGAAGGATGTCATTGTAATGCCTTTAATGACTTGTGCAGCTGCAAAACTTAATTCAAAAGTGAATCAAGTGTTACTATAGTGCCAACCATTAAACATTTCCATGTTTTTCTCTGAAGGTAATTTATATTGCCTAAATGTCATTGTCAGGCCTGTTATTGATCCCTTCTTGTCATATCAACTTACTTAAGATGGAGCAGCTGAAATATTCATGGAATAATAAAACACGGACTTGAAATATTAATGGAGGGCTGACCTAGATATTTAAATATTCCACTGATTGTGCACTGTATGTCAAGCCCTTCAAGCTGTATTATCCATGAGAGAGGAGATTGGCTTACCTTTTCTGGCAGTCAACACGGCGTTGTCCATAATGATTTAAAATGTGGATTCTGTAATAGAAAACCTAAAGTGAACCTGTTAAATCCTCAGAGCTAGCAAAGTAACACTGATTCTGTACACTAAGCACCCTATGGCGTTAAAGAAGAACTCCCAGGTTTTAGAAAAATTAACCCTTGCAGTGGGGCTACCCTCATACTGCAAGGGTTAAGTGCTCGTTCTTCTCCAGGGGCTCAAATAAAAAAGAAATACTCGTCTGATCCTTGGTCCTGCTGCAGTGACCCCTTTTCCACTCTGCTCCGGCTGTGGTATGTCCCTCAGTGTCCTCCTGTCTGATACAGTTGAATAGTCTGCATTTAGATATAATGACGTTGGCAAGGATTAGACCACTGGAGCCTGGGGGAGAAGAGGCTGAGGGAACCAGTCTAGCAGCCAGGCGGGATCGAGGATTGGTTTAGTATTCTATTTGAGCCCATGGAGAAAAATGAGCAGATACAGATCCCTTGTCAGCAAAAGGGGACTGTTGGGGACCAGTTGACGCTGGTATATCTGCAGTGCTGGATTACCCAGAGATGGGTTTTAAATTCAGTTACATGTGTAGATAGTGAAGAAAATGCAATAGGAGGGTGGCACCATCATTATGCTTTATAATTGACTATTGGACATAATTTTAGTGTATGTCCTAACATGTAAGATGCACCATGTCAATCTAAGGTTACTACGTAAAATCCTAAATAGTTTTGGGTCTTCTTTCCTCATTGAAGTGATCCTGTGTGTTCTGTTCTTATGTATTTTTCCTGTACTTTGGGCTCATTCTGTAATGCAGTGAAAAGAGAAGTAAAGATGTGCGGTAACATAGCAGCTATTCAGAGTTGCCATTTATTTCAATGGCACCCCAAACGCGCCTCCCGCCCACAGTGTGATTGTCTGCATTGGAATGCGTGGTACTGCAATGCCATGCGTTCCAGCGCAGTGTGATTGCATGCATTTTTATTCTGAAATAAAATATATGTTTAACACTCCATTTGAGTATTTTAAATAAAAGGTAGTATCTAATTTTTTTAAATTTAATTGAAAAAATTATTGGCCAACTAATCGATGTCAATGAAAATAATTCTTAGTTGCAGCCCTAAGCGTAATAAAAACATTGCTGGTAATCATATTTTATTTTCTGTGCATGGATGCTCATTGTGGACCGGTACCTAGGCATATGTGCGTTATGACTGGTTACTTGTCTGCATTAAAAAGAAATAAAAAGTTCTAAAATGTTCATGATGGATTTTACAGTACAGGTGATATCTTTGATAAACCTGTCTTAATATGTGAGTATAGAAATACAACAAACAACTCCACTAAGAACTTAATTGTTAGAGAAAGCTTTTCCTTATGGACAAGAATATCTCAATTTTTCCCACCTGTTCATTTCCGTTCCATTTTGATTATTTTTTTTATTCCAGTGTCTCCCCAAGACCCAGACTTTGTCAAATCAGTTTAACATACTTTTGACTTAAAGCAGGTTTTGCTGGGCTTTGGACCTAGTATGTGAGACTGAATGACTCCCTTATCAGATGTCAACACTCTAAAAAATGAATATGTGAGCTGATCAATACTTACAGGAAATGAAATACTGTATTTATGATGTAATCTGACTACTACATATATATTAGTCATCTGTGTATCCATATTTAACTCCCTCTTACAATCAATCTTCCTGTGCTTGCTCTGTCTCAAATTACATTAAGACTGTATGCATTATCTTAACTAAAACCTTGACTAAAACTTTTTTTTTCTTTTTTTAATATATATTGGGAGATCCCCTTCATTTCCTGTCCTAGTAGCACTTGTAAACCAAAGAGAAGGTGAAGGGCAAGTGTAAACACAAACAGCAAAACAAGACGGAGGTTCTGCCTCCTACACACTAATAACGTTTTTTTCATTGCAGTTTGTGCCCCAGTTGGATAGATCTATCATCGCTTTCTTAGTTCAAATCCTTCTCATTTCCTTCTCGCCCGCCTCTGATCCCCCTGTGTACCCCCCACCCCATACACTTCTATTCCTAAGCCTTACCACCCAACCTTGTTCCTGCTGCATCCCCACGCTAACCCCTTGGCCCACCCTCACTTCTCCTATTATTGCCCCTCTTTCCATACCTCTTCCATGTCCATTCCCCCTGTCCACGCTCCCTTCTTTATCTTGTTATTGAGGAAACAACCCAGAGTTAAACTGAAG